CCCTCTTAAGTGCCACGCAAATCTTGATTGCTTCCATGCCCAGTGATTGCTGTGATCACACTGCAATTTTATGACATTTTCTAACTGAAAAGGTGTTAGGAAATATAATTTGTTAGTTTGCTAGGTAAAATATGAGTGAAAATAATACCTATGCAGACTAATTTTTTCTTTGGCAAATATATTACACTATAGATATAACTCCAAATATGATTCTAAGATAATCCTTTTAAATCCACAGTTCTTCAATTTAAAATGAATACAGTTGTGTTTATCTGAAACAATTATTTTGGAATATGCAATGCTGACAATATAGGAGAAAGACTCATGGAACAGTGGAAGAATTTTTCCATCAATCTAAAATCCAAGTAAAAATGTTTCTATCAACAATATTAACATATGCCTTTCAGTTAAACTTAGCTGATTTAAATCCTGAAATATGTGCTTCTGATATCATAGCAAATAATTTTTATAAAATGCTTTCTTTTCTATGTGTGCTAATTATCACCCTCCAAAAAATAGATTCAGGGCTTAGACAATCAACGTATCTATTATTGGAAGTAGTCTGACATGTCCCTAAAATGTAATTCTCTTCATTTTTGAAATATGATAAACATCAAAAGTATTCATAAAGCAAATATAATAAGTACATTTTTACTATAGGCATAAAACACCATTAAATTCATTGGGCTTACACTATGGTGTGCTCTATTTATATTTTTAATATATCATCAATATAATATTATTTATAGCAATATAGTATTATTAGATAGTATTATTATATACTAATATATCTCTTAAGACAGAGCACAATAGTTTTGGTTGAACAATAATACATTCTTTTGACAAGTGAACAATCATAGCAATTCAGTTTTTGAGGCAATTCCAACAGCTATGCAGTAGTAGTAATAGTATTATTATCTGTTAACATTCTTCTAAGCTGCTTCAAGATCTTCTCATAAATAATGATATAAACTAAAAGGCAGAGCAAGGAAACAATGCTTACAAAGGTCTATTTTAATATGATAGGACATTTTAAACAATTTCTTCAACCAAATAAACTCCAAAGTTTATATACTCTCATTCTCCCTTCTGCTTATTTCCCTAGTTTTTGAGGTCTTAGGCTTAATGATCATTTTGATCATACTGCAATTTTATAACACCTTCTAATTAAAAAGGTGGTAGGAGATATAATTTGGTTCCTAAATATAACTCAGTAAATATTTATTTCATGAGTTAGTGAGTGAATGACAGACAGGTTTCCTTATTGGTTTTTATCTGCTTGGTCTTCTTGTAACAAGTTTCATGAGGAAACTAGTTCCATGAATGTCAATCATTATCTGATGATTCCTGCAGTGGTACATGGAATGGTATGTAAACCCCATGAGAAAATGGTATTTTCTGTTTTGTCGACTGCTATATCTACATACCTATATACTGAAACAAGATAGAAAAGTAACAAAACCTATTATATTAAATTACACTCTAAATATATATTAAATTATAACAATTATATATTACAGTGGAATTGAAATATAGGAGGTCTTTCTTGTTTATTGAATGTATATTGTGATTGATAGAGATTCTGCTCCCATATCTTTGCTAATATAACCCTGCCTAGCATGCATCACAATGTATTTTAATGATATTCATCATTCCCGATACGCATCATGCTTTTTCACTATGATACCTCATCTGTCCTCAAGTGCCATTATTCTACCACCCAACTCCATACAGTATAAAGTCCTGCACAAATGTTCCTCTTCTCTGAAATATTCCTTCCTGAGTTCCCCTTCATCATCAGTCTTGCAGGGTCTCCTTTTCACCAACCCTCTGAGCAACCATAATTTAGTACTTCAGTCTGTATCCATGTCTGTCCCTGTCATCTTTCTAAGTCTCCTAAGAGACTTTTTCTGATTCCTTTGTGTATCTCAAAAGCTGAATACAGCTACTGGCAGATCAAGGCCTAAATTGCTGAAAACTGAATGAATTAATTAATTTAGCAACATATGTTCTCATAACATGGGAGACCTTAGAAAGTATCATAAAGAAAACATATTTTAGTAATTATAATTAAGAAAACCAATTCTTATTATGATTTATTTAATCAACCCAAAATAACAAAATGGGTAATTACATAACATTTAATGGAACCTAAAGTCAGAATTTTAGTAAATTTATTATTTATTTGTCCTTGATTTGATTACTCAATGTCACTAGATTACATATTTGCTAAGTAGGAATAATATCAACATTTTCTATTATGGTAATTTAGGAGTAACTTACTATCCCTCTGATGCTTACTTTTCAGTAATTATCATCTTGAGATTATCTTCTACAAGAAACATCAGCTGATTATAATTCCTACATGCACAGTTATTTATATTTCTCTCCAGATTAAAAGAATATACATGAAACACAAATTCTTCTCAGCCCAGTTAATACAATCATGAAAATGAAGTAAGATTTTCATCTTTTCTATTTGTCCAGCCTTCCTGTTGACATTAATTATATTGGTTGAAATTTAGATTCCTTAGAATTGAAAACTACAGTTCCAAATATGACATCTCTTGGGAAATTATCAAAGGATTATTGCAAGAGAAAAGCAAAAGCTACAAACGAATGCTCTCTTTTGACAGCTGAAATAGTTATTCATTTTACTTGATGCTTCTCAGTTGTGCCAACGGACCCACATGGAAACACTGACTCTTCCCATGTTTAGATTTATGGACATTATTTTTAAAATAAAATACCATAATAGGAAGAGGATGAATTCCATACAAAGAGTAATATTTCAAAAAAAAAGTCTGTTTTTTGCTAAACATTTACAAGAGTAGAAAAACAGAATCTATTTTATTTAAACTTAAAGTCAGATGAGTGTACAACAGCTCTCAGCCAGCACCAGTTACCAACATGCTCCTGGGAGCCTTTTAAGATGTTATCCTAGACCTACAAATCTGGGCACCTGACAAATGAAGCCTCCTTTGCAGTTCATGAAGTGAAGATCCTCTGCTCTCAATCACCAGGTACTTTACTGGAATTGGATAATGTCTATCTCGTCCACAGGACAGTCCAAGAAATTACTGTTCTCCCCAAATCACAGGAGAGTGTCTGTAGCAACAAAATAATTTTAACTCTAAATTCTACATTGGATTCATTCACCTTGCCCATGAGTTAAGTAAACACTTAGGTTACATAAGGTCTACAAAGATGTATTAGGCCCCATAGACATGACAAGTGGATTAAATACACATAATATTTTTGTTTTAGATTCTGTCTTCTATTATTAAAAGTTACAGCCATCCTTCATACCCAAAACTATAAGAAAGTACTAAATCGCAACTGATTATATGTGGCCCTAAAGAGATGTCCTAGTTAGTCATGTGGTAGTCCAACCCTTGATGACTACAAAAATAGTAATAATAACCAAAATAAAAAATGATGATGATCATACAGATGTACTGAGTAGTTATTACATTCCAGCCACTTTGCGAGAATCTGTGCCTAAGTTGTATTATTTAATATAACATTCCTATAAGATAGGTAATAATAATATTTTAATTATACAGATGAGGAAACCGAGGCTTAGACAGACTGAGCAATATATCAAAAGCCTCATAACTATAAAAGTTGGAGTCAGGGCACAGACCAAAGTGTGCTGGGCTCCAAAGTTTGTGTTCCTAACCACTGTTGTGTTCCAAGGACAATACAATCAATTAATAAGATCTAACACAAAGGCCGTCGTATCCCCAAGAAAGGATATTCTACACACCAAAAAGTTTCCCAGGTACTCATAAAAAGGTTGTAAACATAAATCAATTATTGGCTGTAAAATAGGGAAAACCAAGTACAAAATCAAACTGGTTAATACTTAACCATAAAATGTAATATTACACTCACTCATCAGGTTCAACTAACTTAACTCACACAGTGACATATAAACCATAATTAATATAGATTTAATGTATTTTACTATGTATTACATGATTAAAGTACAGTCTTCAAAAGTGAAGGAGTCTTTACCTGAAAGATGTTTAAGTATATGTGTTTGTGACTCTAGAATTTTCTTCACAAAGACTGCCAACAGAGCATTTCTATTAGCATTTAAAGTGATCTGTAAGTTTTCTGTGAAGCTGACAACAAAGGGATATTTAATAATGGCACAGGCAGATCAAAAATATCTAGGATATCTTTAACATTTGTACAGATGAACATAATTCAGTATTTAAAAACAAACTTTAAAAAGATGTTTATTTTTATATTATTGGATATGTATCATAACCTATTCTATGAAAAATAATTTTAGAAAAAAGTCATAAGATACGCCATAATTTTTAACAAAAAAATCAAAATCCTGTAGGAATTATTAACATGTATATATAATAATGTGTTTATAGATATATATGGAGACAGAGAGAGAGAGACAGAGAGAGGTACAGAGAGACAGAGAGACATGGATATTGATACCTATCTTTGTTTATAGTTTTTTATACTTATGTTTGTTTCCTTTTGGCAACAATGACAAACAAAATATATAGGAAAAACTATAGGATAATTATTCTGCATAGAAACAACTCATACAATTTGCATTAAAAGTAAAATATTATAATTAATTCATCATCATCACAATAATTTTTTAAGAATTGAGTAGGGTAATTCAAAAGTCTTGTTTTACACCTGATTAAGATGCCAACATCAAGGTAAATACATCTGATGTCCTACACTAATTTGTTCTATTATTATTCTTATTATACATAATAAATAACAACATATATAAAACATTTGTAAATCATTCTGAAATTTATAAAACACTTTCCCATATACTATCCTCTCTTAACTATTCTATTTTATAATTTACCAATTTTCATACAAAATTTTAATAAAAATTTTTCTATTTAAAATCAATTAGCCTGTCGTTTCCCCACATTATATATAATAGAAAAATTAATACCTAAATAAGTACCACTTAAATTATAATTAATAAAATAATATCCCTATCCTACCTTCAAGTATCTTTATAATAGCAACTGTAGTTGTTTTGTCAGGCAATCCAGCAGCAGGCACAGAATTAAAAGGTCACCTCTGTGATTTTCATCTTTAGGTAGAATAAAGGTCTCCTGAATTTTAAAAAGAACATTAATATGTGCATAAATGAGAAATGAAGAAAATAGCAGAAACTGAACTTTAGTTCTAAGAATAGCCAAACACAACAGGAATCTTCCCCGCCTCAGAGAACAATTTGAGTATGTTTAAATATAAAATAAGCAAAAATTTTTGCAAGTTATATCCAAATTTGACAAACTTGATTTGTTGACTTTTCAAATTACTTTACTTAAGAAAAATATGCATATTTGAATTTTAAATATATTTTTGAAAATAGAACAAATTTCTGCATTGGAAGGCCATCTACATACTCTAGTTTCTGAAGAACATGCACTACTTGATCCCTGAATATCCAGTTATCTGAGTAAACTGACATAGTGTCACATAAAACATTTTGTCATTAAATAGTGTCCTTAAAAAACAAAAAGTATAGAAAAGTAAGTACGCGTATTGATAAAATCCTTTAATTATCTGGAGCCAAAATTATCCTTCACTCTGACTTAGAACAGAGGTGACTGAACCCTCCTTATAAATAAAAGGCATTTTATGATGGTGTACAGAGTACTGCAGTATTTTATTCTGACAAGCTATCACGTTTCATTACACAAACCCTATCAAGAAGATGTTATATGGCCTTTTCTTAAGCAGCATGACATAAATTTCTAGAGTAGCAAAATGTAGTACTGGAAATAACAGCAAAAACAATTCATGTAACTCATGTCTTTTACAAATGAAGAAACTGAAGCAAAGAAAAATTAAGTGGGTGCTTAAATCTCACAGCTAGCATATCCAGTCCTTTTTCTATGCCTGTCCTGTCCAACACAGTAGGTAGCAGCTACATGTACTGGTAATTACTTGAAGTATGGTTAAGTGGAATTGAGATGTGCTGTAAGTGTAAAATACATGCTGGATTTTAGTGGCTGACTATGGAAAGTAACACAAAATATCTCTTCCAATAATTTTATTCTAATTCTATGTTGAATGATAATAATTTGGATATGCTAGATCAAAAATATACTATTAAAATAAATTTCACTTGTTTCATTTTATCAGTTTTAAATGTGTCTACTAGACATTTTTAAATTATATTCATGGCTCGTATTATATTTCTATCTGACAGCACTGTTCTAGACCATTACATCTTATATTCTTTTAGGTATATCTCTTTTTGAGATTCTAAGTACATACAGTAATTTCTTATATGAAATTCATACATTTTCATTAGTCAACTAAAAATATTCCCCTTTTTCCTTCAAGAGTCTATGCTTATATAATCTAAATACTGTGCCTATAAACAAATGCCAAATGAGTATCAGAAATGTTTACAACTTCATTACAACTCTGTCCTTCATAAGGAGTGCTTATCTTGGTTTCATACTCATTAATTTGACCATTCTAAGATGTTATTCCCTAAACTCCACAGTAGTCGAAAATCTATTCTATATTTTGATAAATGCTTGCAAGGCAAAGGACGAAAAGGAAAAAGAGGGTATTGAATTTTCATTGCCACAGGAGAATAATCAAAGATAATTCCAGTAAGAGTAAATTTTTTATTTAACTATGGCAATAGCTAACAAGATTTCTCAAAAGGAAAAATAATTGTGTTGATGTAACAAGTCAAAATTTAAGTGTATTCTGCCTAAAAGCTGACAGTTGGTAAATCTGAAGGTCTCGGGATAAGGAAATTAATAATAATCAAAAAAACACCTAAAACACAATAGGTTAGCCTTAATTCAAAGTCATTTTTACCTGATGGACAAGAGAGTATCAATGTATGTCCTCACTGAACCAATATTTTGAAAGCAAGAACTATTTCATAGGGACAGGCAATAAGCATTTCCCCAAAAACTATTCTTCTATCTTAAATTCCTAGTATAATTGAGGCTTCTACAATAAGTGAATCCATGAAGACTATGTGCTCTTTAAAGGCTGGAAGATAGTACTTGGTATACTGTCAAGTGTTGGGATTGGGAGTCCTTCATACAAATCATGGGGATTCTCTTTACTTCTCCCCATGCAGAATTGGTTTCCTGACAGACACTCCTAACCAACACTGATTCATTAAATAGGAGTAACAAAACCTTCTTTGGGAGAGTAGTCACTTTTCCATTTTCTAGTAACTAAGTAAGAACTGCTGAGAGCTTGTGAAGATGAGGGACATATTATATTGGAGTGATACGAAGGAACAGAACGAGAGTTGAGAAGTAGCTGACAGTGATTAGCCCTTAGAAATAGGATCATGTCGGATTTATCCCAATATTGTTAATTCCTACTCCCAGAGATCCTTTCAGAAGCCCAATGATGTTACTGTTGACAGGATGATGCTGGATTTTTATTTGTGTGATGCATATTTTAAGACAGGGAAGACAGCATTTTTTTTTTTTAAAGGAAGGATTTGGAAGACAGGAGGAGTCTGCTCTGCTACAGAGTGACTTTCACCCAGCCTCTTCTCCGAACCTGAATAGAAATACTCAAAGTCTGGAATTAGATGGTGTCTACATTTTTTTTTATTATTATTATTATTTATTTTGAGACAGAGTCTTACTCTGTTGCCCAGGCTGGAGTGCAGTGGCGAAATTTTCACTCACTGCAACGTCCGCCTCCTAGGCTCAAGCCATTCTCGTGCCTCAGTCTCCTGAGTAGCTGGAATTACAGGCGCCGACCATCATGCCCGTCTAATTTTTTTATTTTCAGTAGAGACAGGGTTTCACCATGTTGGCCAGGCTGTTCTGGAATTCCTGATCCCAAGTGATCCTCCCACCTTGGTCTCCCACTGTGCTGGGATTACAGGCGTGAGCCACCATGGCCAGCCTCTACATTCTTTAAAACTAACATTTCCTAAATGGAGATTTGTGAACCTTCAAAAGATTGTGAGACTGTTCCACATACATCCTGCCATAAAAATACTAACTTGTCTTTTTCCATTATTATTTTTTAATCAAAAACAAAATGTTCTTTAACATTTGGTTTTCCACTTTGGACAAAATATGCCAAGTGCATCTCAGGTGATTACATATAGGAAATACTGGTTATTGAATGAACTTGTTCATTTCTTCCTTTCATATTCACCAAAATATTCCTGGAAATACTGAGATTTTTTCACCAGTATACTGAGTTTTGTTTTTTATGTTAGTCATGTATTTTAACATTTAATTTCATTTTTAAGATTTATCTTCAAAATGAATACTACATATAAGCAGAAAACATAAGAAAACCTTATGGAATTTTTATCAGTTTATGAGAATCATAGTATGCTAATTCTTCAAATTCCCAAGATAACAGCATTCTAAGGTATCTATAGCATAGAAATTGATATTAAACACTCATATTTTAAAATATACATTTAATAAGAATAAAATCTGTTCTTGCTTTTCATATATCATTACAAAGTTTATACACATTCTAAATGTATCATGCTTTAGAGAGGTTTTGCAAACATCATAAAGCAATCTCTCTTATCTCACCATTTATATGCAAAACAGAACACATAAGTAAATAGTATGTTATTTCAGTGGAAATGGAAGAATAGTTTTAATCTATTTTTGATGATATGAAGTCTATTAAAATTATATCTGTATTTTCATGTTTTAGCTCCTAAATCAAATTTCATATGACATCTTTGAATCTTTCTTTAAAAATGTATGCACTTTCTCCAATAAGTCATTAAAAGTAAATACCATAATTAGAAAATGTTGACATCCTCTATTCTATAGGTATTAACAAGATGCTATTAAAATTAATTTGTTATAAACTTTGTTATACCAATAACAATAATTTACTTAAAATACTGTTTATTGTATGATGTGAAAAAATATTAGCAAAAATTTTTTTCTACTTCCTAAGCAGGTGGGCAGTTTTTCTTGTGCTTAAAAGAGTTGGTAAGAATCACTTGGTAGTATTTATCAAAAAAAAAAAGAGAAAAACTCCATCAATGCATGCCCCTTAACTAGAGATTATAATTCAGCAGGATACATTTCCAGAACTTTTATTATTAATAAAAATACTATGATAGCTAATCTGATTTAGGAGGAATGTAGCCTGTAGATACAGGTCAGGTCAATGCTAATAATCCTCAACTATTTGACCTGTATCATAACAATTACAATCACTAATACACTGGAAAGATTATGGTGTGTTCATGACAATGTGCCTCAACCCAAAAGAGGAAAGCACTATCTAAATAAAATACAGGGATTTAGTTTATGTTTGAATTCTAGACTTAATGCAATGCTAGATCATAATAGGTTATAACTGATGAATGAATAAAATACCCAGGATCTATATAATTTATCTAGCATAGATGCAGGGTACAAAATTCCATAGTACAAATAGTAGATATTATAGGTAATTATTTAACATTTGTTCATTCACTTATCAAATAGTAGTTGAGCATCTAACTGGCACTGAAGAGATAGTAGTGATATAACTATTGCTCCTGGATTCTCATCCATGTAACTGAAATTAAGCACTGCTTACACTTTAATTACTTAACAAAAATTATGAAAAGTGCTAAACAGTGGAATTAAAAAGTGTTAAAAAGGCATATAACTAGGCAATTTTCTAGTCTTGGGAAGATTCAAGTAGTGAAATCTCAGCTAAGTCCTAAAGGATGAGGGATATATATACTATATATGTATATATGTACATATAATTATATGTATATATGTACATATAATTATATATGTATATGTATATATTATAGTATATATAACATGTATATGTATGATATGATATATAACATATGTATATGTTATATATGTTATATATCATATTATATGACATATGTATATGTATGTTTCATATTATACATATGTATATTATATATTATACATAACATATGTATATGTATATATGTATATATAATTATTTATACATATATGCGTATATATGCACATATGTATATGTATTAGATGTACATTATACATATACATATATGTATATGTATTAAATGTATATTATATGTGCATACATACATGTATATGTATATACACATGCATCTACATATATGTATATATGCAGAATTGTATTATTTCTATATTATATGTACAGACATACATAAATATATATATGTCTGTATGTACATATATGTATATATATGCAGAATTGGTTTCCTGACAGACACTCCTGACCAACACTGATTCATTAAATAGGAGTAACAAACCTTTCTTTGGGAGAGTAGTCACTTTTCCATTTTCTAGTAACTAAGAAAGAACTGCTGAGAGCTTGTGAAGATGAGGGACATATTATATTGGAGTGATACCAAGGAACGAGAGTATATATATATGTATGTGCATACATATATATGTATGTGTATATGTATATATTATATATGTATATATGCGTATTATATATATTATATATGTATACACACACACACATATCAATGGGGGCTATGAAGAGGTAGAGAAGTAGACAAACTCTCAGCAGAAGCGACAGTATGTAGAAGTCCCTGAGACATGAAAAACTGGAGTAGATACTAGAAGGCTATTGTAGATGGAGTGTGTAATATAGGGGAAGAGTGGCATTAGCTGAACCACTAAAATAGGCACATCTAGGTCATGTAAGAACTTACAATTCATGATACTGCTTATAATATACTTTATATTTGGGGAAACAAGAAGCCTTTGATACTTTTTATGAGGATAATTCCATTATCAAATATCATATTTGTATTTTTGAAATGTCTATGGTTTCTGTGTTAAAGTGAGTGTAGTAGGACAAAAGCTAAAGAAAGACCAGTTAAGAAGCAACTGAAAGAAAAAAAATCCTAAAATTTATATAGAACCACAAAAAACCCAGGATAGCCAAAGCTATCCAGAGCTAAAAGAACAAAACTGGACGCATCACTGTTAGGCAGGAATCTAGACCCAACATGGCGGTATCACCCAGCATGGCAGGCCCTTTGTTAGGACTTCCCGCCCTTCACTTCCTGCTAAGACTCTCGGGGTGCGAAAAAAGCCCGCACCCGCCAAAGAACCCCCGCTCTGCGCAAGCTCCTGGACACGTCATTCCTCAGAAATCAAAACCTAACTCAGGAAAACCAAAACCTACAAACCCCGCCTACCTCACCCTATAAAAGGCCCCCCATGCCCACCCCCCAAGCACGACCTCCTCGGCCCTCCCCCTAGAGGACCGGTGAACCTTGCCCGCAAGCCCAATAAAGGCTACCTTTGTTCTCATCTGCCTCGTGTCTTCTTGCTCGGCCCTCCATTTACATTACGTTCACATTACCTGACTTCAAATTATACTTCAGAGCTATAGTAACCAAAACAGTATAGTACTGGCATAAAAAGAGACACATAGACCAGCACAACAGAAAAAAGAATCCAGAAACAAATCCATATATCTGCAGTGATTCATTTTAGACAAAGATTCCAATTACATACATTGGGGAAAAGATAGTTTCTTCAACAGATGGTGCTGGGAAAACTAAATATCGTTATGCAGAAAAATGAAACTAGACCCCTATATCTCTCACCATCTACAGGGTGAAATAAAAATGGATTAAAGACTTAAAGCTAAGACTTCAAACTATGAAACTACAGCAAGAACACATTGGGGAAACTCTCCAGGATGCTGGACTGGGCAAAGACTTCTTGAGCAATATCCCACAGACACAGGCAACCAAATCCAATATGGACAAATCAGATCACATCGAGATAAAGAGCTTCTGCAATGCAAAAGAAACATCAACATAGTGAAGATACAACCAATAGAATGGGAGAAAATAGCAGCATACTATCCATCTGGCAAAGGATTAATAACCAGAATATATGAGGAGCACAAATAACTCTATAGGAAAAAAATTAGTAATCCAATTTTAAAATGAGCAAAAGGTCTGAATAGACATGTCTCAAAAGAAGACAGACTAGCAGCAAACAGGTATATGAAAAGATGCTCAACATCATTGATCGTCGGAGAATGTAAATCAAACTAAAATGAGATATCACTTCACCCAGTTAATATGGTCTATATCCAAAAGACAGGCAATAATGAATGCCGGCAAGGAGGTGGAGAAAAGGCAACATTATAAATTGTGGGTGGAAATATAAATTATTACAACCATTATGGGGAACATTTTGGAGGTTACTCCAAAAACTAAAAAGAGAGTTACTATACAATCCATCAATCCCGTTGCTAGGTATATATGCAAAAGAAAGGAAATTAGCATATTGAGGAGAAATCTGCACCCTCATATTCACTGCAGCACCATTCACAACAGCCAACATTTGGAAGCAGCCTAGGTGTCCATCAACAGAAGATTGGATGAAGAAAATGTGGTACACAGACACAAGTACTATTCAGCCATAAAAAAGAGTGAGATCATGTCATTTGCAACAATATGGATGGAACTGGAGATTATTATGGTAAGTAAAATAAGTCGGGCACATAAAGACAGACATCACATATTCTCACTTTGTGTGGGGGGTAAAAATTAAAACAGTTGAACTCATGGATATAGAGAATAGATGGATGGTTATCATAGGCTGAGAAGAGTGGTCTGTGTGAGAGGACACTATACAGGGGAGGGGAAGCCATTTTAACTAGTG